TTATTTAGGAAGTAGGTGCCACTCCGGTTTCCAAACCTGTCGTAGTATGTTACTGTTTTCATGTGCCATTGAGTTGCCCTCAGTGTATAGTGATTCTATGTACAGCAGCTCTGAACCCTTCCCTGTTCTGAGCCATTCTCACTAATTCTGACACACCAACCCCCATCACCCCAGTTACTGTATCAATCCATCTCATCCTGTGGGGGTCTTTCTCCCTTGCGCTGTCCGTCCACCTTTTTGAGAATGATGTCCTTCTCCAAGGACCTATCACTCCTGGCCACATGCTCAAAGTAAGTGAGATGGAGCTTCAAAATCCTAGCCTCCAAGGAGAGACTTAGTTTTACCTTCTCCAAGACAGACCTATTTGTTTTCTTGACAGTCCATGGTATGTTCAAGACTCTTGTCCAGCACCACAATTTGAAGGCATCTATTCTTCTTCTGTCATCCTTAGTCATTGTCCAACTCTTTGAAGCATAACAGATAATTGAGAAGACTATGACCTGGATTAGGCAGATTTTTGTATCTAGACTGACATCATTGTCTTCAGCATTCTGGAGAAGTCCATGACAGCAGATTTTCCCAATGCTATTCATCTTTTGATTTCCTGCCTGCTGGTATTAAGAGTGTTGATTGCGAATCCAGGCAAGCTTTAATTGTTAATAACCTCAATCTCTTCTCCATCTAAGATGGTGCTGCCAGTTGGCCCACTGGTGAGGCAGATTGAATAGTGGTTACCTAAAGACATCAGAACCTGTGAATATGTTACTTTTATGGGAAAGGAGACTTTGCAAATATAATTTAGTTAAGGATCCCAAGGTGGGGACATTACTCTGTGTGAGAATGATATAATCAGCAAAGTCGAAACCAGATTTACTGCTGTCAATGCAATTCCTCCATGTGTCCGAGGTTAGGGATCTTAACAATAGCAAACTGCCTCATCTTTCTGCCATAGAGCAACTGGTTGATTTGAACTGTCAAGTTTTTGGTTAGGAGCCCAACTAGTAACCTACAATGCCACCAAGGCTCCTCTGATATAAGCATGTGCCTCATTGGAGGAACCCAGGAAGTCAGAGAAGAGAGAAAATGTTACACTACTAGATTTGAAGATGAACATAGCCAAAAAAATGTAGGTGGCCTGAATAGATCAGGAAATAGATTCTTCCCTTGAGCTCTAAAGAGAATCAAACTCCATAAACCCATTTTAGACCTCTGACCATTACTCTTACCAGGAAGCTTCTGGCCTAGAGTGTAAGAAGTTACTCTGCCAACCCAAAGGCAAGTAGTTCACATCCACCAGCCACAAGCTGCTCTGCAGTAGAAAGATGCAGAGTCTCCTACCCGATGATTTACAGTCTCTGAAAACCCACTGGAGGGTCAGCTATGAGTTGGACCCAACTTGGCAGTGAATTTTGGGTTTAGTTACCTGAACTGTAGTGTTATACATTTGTGATGTTTCAGACTATTAAAAAGGTGGTAATTTGTTACAGTAGCAATAGGAAAGGAATACATCTTAGCATTGCTAATTACCAGTATCATTCGGTATTGTTGTGTGTGGGTGTGTGGTGTTGTGTGTGTGTTGTATACTGTTGAGTCAGAACCAACCCATAGCTGAACCTCCAGTGAGTTTTCAGAGGCAATTAATCGCAAGGGAGGAAATTGCCTGTCCTCCCGCATAGCAGCTGGTGGCCCCGACCCACGTGCCTTTGGGATTGCAGCACAGCTTCTTGCACCAGGTCAGCTATGAGGCTCTAAATTGTGCTGGAGGAGATTGCCCATCTTTCTCCTTCAGCAGCTGGTGAATTCGAACCACCTGCCTTTGTTTTGGCAGCACAATTTAAGCAAATCATCTTACTTGTACTTCTGTGTGTCTGAGAGCCCTTGATTTTATTTTTTTGGTCCTGACAAAGTATATGAAAGAGTGATGTAGAAAATGGAAGAGATTGTTTTGAAAAGAGGGTATTCCTAGAGATGTTGTTTGCTTGGAGCAGCAATTAATCTGGGACTAAGTATATGGTAAACTGGGAGGTAATAAGAGTTAAATTGAAGATCCTGTAACAAAATAGTCTCCCATCCTCACCCCTGTACATAAATGCGTATATATCATCCCTTTGTCATCAATTTCTGGCTCATAGCAACACTACTAGCCAGTGTAAAACTGCCCAAAGGGTTTTCCTCTTTAAAAACTGAAGGGGGAAAAAGCCTAGCTGGAACAAGGATCGTATGGCACCCAAGAATGGGACTTGGCAAACAAGCCAAAGGACCCATTCCAGCGGACCAACTGTTTTAGTGTGACCTGCAAGCTAAGGATGGTCTTTAGATTTCTATTAGATTAAGAGAAAATGCAAAACAAGCAAAAGCCCTCTTATCATGGCATATGAAGATGACATAACTCACATTTTGTGCCCACAGACAAAATCTTACGGCAGCACAGCCACCTCAGTTTTTTACATACCGCCTTGCTTTCACCCTACAATTGAACTATTGTCACGCCTGGCTTCATGCCACTGCTTACTGCCCTACAAGTTCCAGTTACACAACTATAGCTCAGCAGCACTAAATTATGCTATCTTATCTTGTTTCTAAAAAGTTACTAATGAATACTTATCGTGTCAACACAGGAAGAGAAAAACTCTCAAAAACCCCTCCTTGCCACTGAGTTGGAACTCTGCCTGCCTTTGGGTTGGCGACACAAAAGTGACCTTTAAGTCATGTGCTTTACTTTGCTTATTAAATTTTACTATTTTATATATGAAATGTTACTGAATTTAGATGTTGTTGTTGTTGTTATGTGCCATTAAGTTGCTTTCGACTAATAGTGGCTCTAAACAAGAACTCTAAACGCCGTTCTATCCTGTGCCAACCTAACCATCTCAAATGCACTCATTCCCACCAATCCACTCACTGAATCGATCCATCTCATCGAAGGTCTTCCTCTCCTTCGCCGCCCCTCCACTCTGCCAAATATGATGTCCCTCTCCAAGGACCAGTCTCTCCTTGCAACATGCCCAAAGTATGTCAGACGAAGCTTCAGAATCCTTGACTCCAAGGAGCA